AAATTGTAACAAAAGGTAATAATTATATTTTATAAATGACATAGTGGCTAACTGATTTATGTGAGGCACTCTGTAACAAAGCCAGCAATACAACTGAGTACCTAGTCTAGATTATAACTTCTTAAGATTCAGTTTAAAGTGTAGCTGAAATTAAGTGTTAAAATATTTTCCTGTTTTAGTACATCACTATGAGATTTTAGTTAGAAAATTAATAAGAATTTAACCTTCAAGCTGGATGTGATAAATATAAGCCTCGACTAATAGTAGTACTTTTGTTAAAGGAAAAAATTCTGACCTCTTGCAAAAGTGAGAATTTTTTTGTATAGTAAAAGATAATGGAGAATGTTACACTGGCTTTTATATATTAGTAGTATGAAATTTAGAGTGGCTGCTATAAAATTTAAAGTGAAAAACTAAAGTTTAAATTGCTAAATGTTAATATAGTGGCAAAATAAATTAATAAGTAACCAGTTTTCTTTAGCTGTGTTTTGCAGTCATATTGAAGTAGTTTATTAAAATTTGGTGGAACTATCTTGTCCTTTGTTCTTGTCTAGATGAATAGCAGCTCTTTGATATTGTCAGGTAGGTAGTATATTGTTAAGTGTAACAGAACTTCAGTTATGATACTAGTTTTTCATTTCCCATTTACATAGCTGAGCCTTCTTATAAAATATGGAGAAAATCACTAAACAGATTCATTTACATTTTTTGTGACATTATTAAAAGATACGCCATTAACCACTGCTTAGTAGAGACATACGTTATAAAATTTAGTTCTTGTTTTTAAAATGTCTTATTCTGGCCATAAAATAAGATACAAGTAAAACATGAACAAATGGTAGGATGTGAATATATTTAAAAGAATATAGAGGAGTAATTTTTTGGAACCTAGAGGTCACCGGCTATTTTTAGATGCTGGAAATGAGACAGTTTAGTGGTAAAGACATCAGACAGTCACTTGCAGATTGTCTTTTAGTCTAACAAACCTTAACCACTTATTTCTGTGTCTGAAATGAATTAGAGTTGAATTCATGGAATGCAGGTAAATTTTCAAAATCTCCTATAACTTTGTCATTGGTATACAGTAACAACTTCCAAGAACATTTACAGTTGAAAGTGTATACTCATATCTATACTCATCAGGAACTTTAAAATGAGACTTGTTAGTAACAGCATATCTCTTATTTGGAAAAAATTTTTTTCAAGATGTCAGTTTCTTGTTATTTGATTGCTTTTGTGATTAGTTATAAAGAAAATGAAAATGAGAGGGGTTATTTATTAGTGTTTACTTTCAAAGGCACGATCATCTTGTAGCTTTGTTCTTTAATTTTCCTGTTGAATACTAGTTACAGACTCACTAGCAGTTAATCTACATTTAAGTAAAAGTGATATTCAAATAATAAAATCTGAAATAACCAACTGAACACTTCTATTTTGTGTAACTAAATTTGGCTCTTTTTGTAGGCGTAGAAATTAATTATTTAAATAAAATTCTAGGACATACAATTTACATGAGAGCTTCTTTGAATACTGCAGTTTTTCTTAAAGCACATTCTTTTGAATGTGTCTTGCACTAGGAATCTCACTTTGGAATTGTTGCATGCACATGAAGCAGGAAACAAGACAGAACCCCACCTCTAGCTTGTTGAGTCAAAAAAAAAACAACTATTATGAAGATACTCCTGGTTTACTGATGATCCTACAAGTCATGATGATATGCCATCCTGCTAATTGGTTTCTCATTTTATAATTTAGGAAACCTTGCTGTGATCTTTCATGTAAAAGTCCTGTAGCCTTCCCATGGGCATAGTCCCAAGGGTTTAATGGCCATTTTTTCTCTACTCAACCAAGGCCTAAGTTTCTAGCTTTTCTGTATCTGTTTTCTCTTCTCCAAAATGGGACTTCATCTCTTTCATTGTTTTCTTTTTTTCTTCCTCCCTTTCTTCCTTTCATTCTTTCTTTTCTGGTTTTGGACAGGTCTACTTTACAACTTACAAATTATTTTCCTCAGCCATGTGAAATTCATGTGAAAATTTAAAATTGTATTCTAGAAAATCGAATCTTATCCTATGCAAAAGTGCTAGCATCATATTTCCTTACAAAGGAAATTTGGTCATGGGAATCTGTGTTTCATTTTTCTCCTTGGTTACTTGTCTGAGTTTCTACCACCAGTGTTGCCCCTGGTTAATAGTGTTGTCTTTTCCTTGTCTACTTCTCTGACTTATGTTTTTATGCCGCCTTTTTTAGAGAGATTCTTGTGACACTCTTTCTTCTCTGCCTGTGTATAGTATTTCATTTCTTGAAGGAAGTCTGGCAACTATTCCTATCAGTTTGAAATTTTAAAATGACCCAAAATATTAAAAGGTAAGGAAAATTGGTTGAGATCTAAAACATTTTGTGGAGATAAATTTAGAATGATTGATAATTGAGAAAGGTTGGATTAGGAAGTAAATTTTAAATTTTTTTTCTAGATTCTGAGCAAGTAATTGGAAAATCTTAACTTTGAATCATTCTGTTTTGTGATGCAAGAGCAACTTGGTTTCCTTAACTACAAGTATTTGTAGGAATAATAACAGTAGCAATAATTAAGGTTAATCTACTACTTAATATGAAGTAAGTTGTGATGCTGCTTGCTGTTCATGTGTAACCTCATCTAATCCTCACAATAGTGCCATTGGGTACTAACTAGAATCATTCTCAATTTGCAGAAGAGGCTCAGACATAAAGAATGAATTTAAGTCATTTCCTCAATACCACATAAGTAGAAAGTGATCTAATTCAAGCATACCTGACTGAGAAGCCTGTGTTCTTACCCTCCTGGTTATCCTTCAATCCTGGTATCCATCCTTCAGATGACTAACAAATTGATAACATGAAAAGTACCCTAAAGACAAACTATATGGAGGTATTGTACCAGGAACTCAAAGAAGAAGCCAAATGAAAAATGGTGAGAGATTAAGAGAAAGAAGAGAGAGACAAATGTTCCTATGGTTTTCTATTTGTAGATAGTAGGATTCGATTTGTAAAGAGACATTGAATTATATAATTATTTGAATAAGAATTTATAGATACTTTGTATTTTTATTTACATAGACACAGGTAAATATATTTGTCTAATAGTTATAATGTAGCATACAGATAATATTAGAATGTCATCAAAACTGTTACTATATAAAGATACTAGTAGGAGTTTTAAAATACAAGTAGTTAATGTTTATTGTCATTAAAATGGTGTGTTTGTGCTGATTTGCCAATTCATTTGTTCAACAGATATTTATTGAATGTCTACTGTGAGCCAAACATGGTGTCAAGTGCTGGAGATTGGTCTAAAGGCAAGGCACAATTCCTGCCTTAGTGATTTTACCACCTAATATGTGAAACAGTCAATTAATGAATTGTATGAATGAATAGTCACATAGTACTGTGCCAACTGTGGGACTCTTTGTAGAGATCACACCTGGCTTACTGTGAGAGAAAGGGAGGCTTTTGAAAAATGTCCTGAATGCAGAATCATGATTCTTAGAATTTCTTTTGGTTGCGTAGCCATGAGTACATCATTAGACCTACCAGGAGAACTTTTTAAACAATACCAATGCCTGAGCTCTCCCTCTCCCCTAGTGATTTATTACTCAATTTGTAGGGAGCCCAGACACCAGTATTTTTAAAAAGCAATCTAGTTATTCTAATGTGCTTCCTCTTGGTCATTTCAGACATTATTCCTAAAATGGTGCTTGCTGATAAGAATAGTTTTTGATGACTCTTGAGAGGAGTTGTTAATGGGGAAGGGGAGATTTGGAATAAATATAATTCAAAATGAAGTATACTTCTATGTTAAGATTATGAAACTTCCCTCAATAAGACTAATTACTCTATAAACTTGTAAAGAAAATATTACAATGTCTCTTGTATCCCATTTAAAATAAGTGTATTGGGCTGGGGATTTAGCTCAGTGGTTCTGTCACCTCCCTCGCAAGCACACGGTCCAAAGTTTGATCCCTGGTACCAAAAAAGAAAGACCAGGAAAGAAACTATGCCATGAAAATC